TATACAGTAGCCTTAAAGTGGCTAGGTTTGCCACACTCACATACTGTGGCCTTTCCAGGTAGTACTCACATACTGTGACCTTTCCAGGTAGTACTCACATACTGTGACTGTAACGGCACCCCCAGGCATAAAAGAGTTAAACCGCCGTTTAGAAGATCTTCCCCTTCCAGAGATACAGGCACAGCTACTGCAGAACACCAAACTCCCGAACTGCATACAAGGGAATGCTCCAAACTCCCGAACTGGAACCTCCCGAATAGCTGCTAGCAGACGAACAGGAAAAGCACCCAATCGGCTTACACGCCTGGCAATCAGTCTCTAACAGCATACAGTAAATCCCCCCAGAGACGAGACAGAGCTCCATGTTGGGGGTCAAGCAGTGGTCTGGTTTAATGTGGGCTACCTGCCCGGTATTTATGCAGGTCCCCCAGCTGGTGGACACTCCCCTAGGGGACCAAATGGGAGACTGTGACAAAGGACAGACATGAACCAATGACAGACACACAGAGGTAAAACATCCCCACAATGCATCCTAACTTCCCTCCCTCTGTCCTGGAGATAATTGGGAAGTAATCCAATTATCTCCCAGGACAGAGGCAAAACTCCATTAACCACATGGTCACAACAAAACACCAAAATACAAATAAAATACACAATGTTACATTTGTCACACAAAATCTATACATGTAACCCATTCCCAGATACCTGGGATCTGAGCGCACAAAAGTACCGAATAGCGCTCAGATTCTATGCGCACAGTCCAATCGCCGTGGAGTTAAAGTGTTCACAAAGTCTGTTCTCCATACGAATAGACTCCACGGGATGGCTATCTGGGGTAATGCTATTCATATGTTTTAAACTACCGAATGAACCGGCATCCGGTTAAATGACCGAATGCAGAAGCAAGGAGGCTGACGGCTTCAGCGGTGTTTGCGCAAATAAGTGTCCGTTTCCAGTTCCATAGTTTGGGCGCTGAACACCGCTGGCCACTCAGGACTTTAAAATGGCTGCCACCACGTGTTCGGCAAACGAACAAAGGCCACCCAGCGTTTGTCGATTAAGCTACAGTTAACCGCAGCTTCTGGGAACTAAATTGCCGACACACTCCCAATACAGGTGGTCCAGTCAATCGGTTGTTTGTTCGGTAGATTGAATCTACCGAACACCGGGCAGAAAGGCACGAACAAGCCTTTACTGCAGGGGAAAAGAAGGCTTTTTAATATGGGGCCATAGTCCAGAGGCAACAGGCGGGCAACCAGGCTTCTCCAATGCAATGTGGCGAGATTGGTCTTGTCACAGTGACCTTTCCAGGTAGTACTCGTATACTGTGGCCTTTCCAGGTAGTACTCACATACTGTGGCCTTTCCAGGTAGTACTCACATACTGGGGCCTATCCAGGTAGTACTCGCATACGGTGACCTTTCCAGGTAGTATTCGCATACGGAGACCTTTCCAGGTAGTACTCGCATACGGTGACCTTTCCAGGTAGTACTCACATACTGTGACCTTTCCAGGTAGTACTCGCATGCTGTGGCCTTTCCAGGTAGTACTCGCATACTGTGACCTTTCCAGGTAGTACTCGCATACTGTGGCCTTTCCAGGTAGTACTTGCATACTGTGGCCTTTCCAGGTAGTACTCGCATACTGGGGCCTATCCAGGTAGTACTTGCATACTGGGACCTTTCCAGGTAGTACTCACATACTGGGACCTTTCCAGGTAGTACTCACATACTGGGACCTTTCCAGGTAGGTTGAAAATATTTCGATTTGCCAGTCCTGACCTGTATCATGGCATATTTTATTATTTTCTTCTATGTCTAATTTTGGAGCTAAAATAAACACAACAAAGAAATTTGAGTTTGTTTTATTTTATTTTTTTATTTTGATGAATCTTTCTGAACTAATGTTCCCAAATGTTTTTGACTTTTTATTGTACTTCTTCTGAAAATAAAGACAGAGAAAAACACTGGTGAGCAAACATACAAACAAACAAACAAACAAACAGTCTTCCTAGCCGCCTGTCCATCTGTATAGCTGTCCATCTATCATTTTATATAATGGGGTGTCTCTTCATCTCTATTGGGGCGTCTGTTGGTTTATATGTTGGCCGGTCTGTCTTCCTGTCTATTGAATTTTATACCAGTCTGTTTGTCAATCTTCCTGTCAGTTGGTCTTTATAATTGTCTATCTTCCTGTGTACCGGTCGTTCTGTCAGTTTGTCTGTCTATATGTTTGTTGATCTACCCGTCTATCACCCACATATTACAATAATTACATATTTCTTTAGTTCTTTCACATGCTCTTTGGTCTTTTCCAAAACCTAATAAAATTATGGTGATTTAAATCTAATTAGTAGCACTTCATGTTGCTACATGATTATATCCAAAGCTCAAAGACTCTGAAACTGCTTTTAATCAACATGACAGAAGGATCAGACGGACGAGGAAAGGAAATTTGTAAGATGAAAGATCTTACTGTAATTCGGTAACAGTGTTGGTTCAAGCTTTGTGTTGATGATGGAAGATTGTGCGTTGTCCTGCAGTGGTATGGTCATTGGAAATCAGAGCATTAAGAACAAATTTCTTACCAAAAGGCAGATTGTTACATTGATTTACCTTGAGATTATCTTTATTTTAAATGAACACAAACTCACAGAAAGAGTCTACAAAAGTTAAAGAATTATTTGAGAAGCCCTTTCAGCTAGATACCTGTAACGTAGAGTAATAGTAAATAAACAGTGAGGTGATAGAGGATTAGATACCTCTGACATCCAGTGATAGTAAATAAACAGTGAGGTTATAGAGGATTAGATACCTCTGACATCCAGTGATAGTAAATAAACAGTGAGGTTATAGAGGATTAGATACCTCTGACATCCAGTGATAGTAAATAAACAGTGAGGTGATAGAGGATTAGATACCTCTGACATCCAGTGATAGTAAATAAACAGTGAGGTTATAGAGGATTAGATACCTCTGACATCCAGTGATAGTAAATAAACAGTGGGGTTAAGCCCAGAAAACATACGAGTGCCCGATCACCCAAACCCTGGGGGGTAGTTGAACCTGTGGAGAGAAACATCAATTCAGGAGACCTGCAGGTTGAACATATGAAACAAATTTCCTTGAATCCCACCACCCGATCCTCTGAACCTTGTGTGCCAGCATCCCGAGCCTAGAAGCCACCGTGGCAACACCAATCCGAATGGAATGACCACAATATTCCTTGCTGTCAATCCCCAGGACTCCCAGCCCTGAGGAAAAAAACAGAATACATTGGAAATGAGAAAGAAAACTCCCATCCACATGAACTACAAGTGGCCCCGTGGATACCGGGTGCATCTCACAGTACTCCCTGAAATAAAAAACAGGGCAAATAGCCGAACCGGGGACAGCACCCAAGTGAACCCACTTACCCTTCCTGAAGACATCCGTCTTTGAGTGACGGATCTTAAATGAGCGCAGCAGCGCATTGAACATCGGCAAACAACACACCACCACTGCATTGCCTATTAGGGCTCACCAACTCCCCTATGCGCATGGCTCCAAAGAATGCCAGGGAATAGGCCAAAGAAAATAGATGGACCTCGAAAACCGAGTAACAGACCCGAGGGAGCACCCGACACAATTTCGTCAGGAGCACCCCGGAGACCGGCCTTCTGGTGTCCCCGGAAGCAATACGCCGCCTCAAGCCTTTTAGCACCTTCCAACCTACGCAGCTTGAACAGGAAGCTGAGACCCGAAAAACATGAGGAGATCACAGAGGGGGACTTACCCAAGGATTCCCAGTGACCCAAGAGCTGCAAAACCCCAGAGAGACAGGCAGCCGAGGACCCAAAAGCACCCTGATCATGTTCCCACTTGTCCTATTTACACCACACCTTACTGTATCGGGCCCACGTGGTCCCGGAGACTGACCCACGGACCAGTTCCATCAATCTGCCAGACTAAGTGACCACATCTCCACCGGGCATAGGGTCCCCTTCAGATCCACCTGCGGGGAGACCTCCCGAAATTCCGACCACTGTGAACGAGAGAGCATTCGCCATTACCCCAGACGTCGAATCTGTTGAATCTGATGCAGCCCTAGGGCCAGAGACACTTCCCACTGTAAGCATTGAACCTTATCCGAGGGCAAATGGCATTCACCTGCCACCGAGTCAATCTCGATGCCCAGAAAGCTGAGGCACATAACCAGACCCACCATTTTGTCATGGGCCAATGGAACACCAAAGCCTCGAAAAACATCCCCCAAAACCCACAACAACAGCAAACAAACGGGCAAATCAGCGGGACCCACACAAAGGAAGTAATCTAGGTAATGCAGCAGAGAGTCGATCCCAGCCTCCCTCCTGACCACCCAGAAAAGTGCTGAAGCACTCAAAGTAGAAACAGGATATGGAACAGCCCATCGGGAGGCACATATCTACGTAGTACAAGTCATCAAAAACACAACCCAGGAGATTGTGACTGTGACAGACCTCCTGTACCCCAACCAGGTACCGCCGTCAAACATGCTTCCTAGTTACCGCCAGGATACCATAACCACTGTCCAGCCCCTAGTTGCCGCCTCCTCCCACCCTAGACCAAAGACCTGGTTCCAGCTTCCAGTGGGTAGAGGTCTCCTCCAGAGAGTATAGCCAGTAAATCCAAGATTATAGCAGGTATAGCCAGTATAGCATTCCCCCCACACATTAGCCAAAACTTAATGCT